GGGGGAGGGGTGGGCGAGAGGGGGAGAACAGGGGATTCTGTGGCTATTATGTTGAATTGAATGGTGTTGTAAAATAATAATAATAATAATAATAAAAAAACCAAAAAAAAAAAAAAAACTATTGACAGATTTCAAATGATATATTTTGAGGCTTCTTAACAACACAAATTTCAGTATATAAACCAAAATTTCTTTTTAATAAAAGTACTTGAAAGGGCATAAGATGTTGCCATGTGGCTTAGGTTTTCATCTAAGAACATATAATGTTATAACACTTGTTGTATTTTTGAAAGCATATGCTCTTCCCCTATGCCTTGAAATTGATGTAGTACATTTTGCATTGTATGTGATTCAGATGTAAAGTAAGCAATGAACAAAAGCATCCTGACCCAAAGAATTGTCTTATGAAATTCTTCATAGGTATTGAAGACAGGAACTTCATTTTGGTCAAAGTTGGTTCTCACATTTAACACTCCTTTTCAGAAAAGAAAGGAGAGGTGTTATATTAAGATAATTAGCAGTCAATATTATATTTCTCAAACTTATAATTAAGGAAAATATTTTATTATTTTGTGAATGTATTGGGGGGGCTTCCATAGCTCATGTTCAGAGGTCCAAGAAAACTTTTAGGAGTCGGTTCTGTCCTTCCACTTTTATGTGGGTTCTGAGGATTGAACTCAAGTCATCAGGCTTGCATGCCTTGTGCATTTAACCACTGAGTCATCTTGCCAGACCAAAGTTATAATTAATATTATAGAAAAGACTCCAACTGTGGAGTACCAATTCTCATAAACAAAGAAATGATGGAACTGAAAATCACTCAACCTATAGGTTTGCTTTTGGTTCTGTCAAAACTCAGGATTCATAAAATGCCAAGTCAAGGGAGGGCAGGGGAATCTGTGGCTGATATGTAAAATTAAATTAATTATAAAATAAAAATATTTAAAAAAGAACTCTATATAGACCCCTAATACAAGTCCCTAGCTAAAAACTGGAATTCTTTTCATTTCTGGACAAAGGCCTTTCACTGGAGAATCTTCAAGCCACAACAATTGTCACCATTTTGCTTCCCAATCTCCATGTCTGCTCAGTGAGCAGCACACTTGATCTTGTCCTCTGCTTTTCCTCCTCACAGCCCTACCACCCCTCCTCCTTGACCTGAATCAGTAAAGGAATTCAGCAACACAACCTCCTATCTCAATGCTTTACATCAATAAGAATTAGCTTCTCTACACACAAGGAAAAGAGAAAGACTCAGGATATACAACCCTTGTGCTGGATGATTCTGACTTTAGGGCAGGAGTCTCACAGCATGCCCTTGGAGAATATACTGGTGGGCAGAGGACCTCAAGTCCTCGCTAAAGAGGCAATGAGAATAGTGTGTGTAGCATCAGTGCAGTAGATTAAAGAGTGGTAGCAGCTATAGCCTTGTTGAAGAGGGTTGAAGAAGAAATGCAATGTGAGGGAGTGGACACAAGGCCTAACAAATATTTTGGGAAGTTTAGCCACATAGAGGGCATAGAAATAGATAAACTCCTAGAGTAATAATGGTATCAGGAAAATAGTTGTTTCACTTAAGATTAGGAGAGTTAGATAATATGCTTATGGACATAACATCTTCTCATGTTCTTAACTAAATATGCCCAATGATATAAGTATCATCTTACAGGTCCACCTAAATGGACATATATTTTCCATATATGTTTCTATGCCTCAGGAATATTTTATGCATTGAACATAAAACAAACAAAAAAACCAAAACGAAATCTTGTGAATGGAGAGAAACAAACTGTGTAGTCAAAAGTACTTCAAGGTCTCCTCCAACCAATATTCTGTTCCCTAAGACACTTGAAGCATGGTCAGGGTTGTAATGCTCTCAAGTCAGCAATGGCACATGGAAGAAATGGGCCTAAATCATACCTCTTGGATCAGAAGGCGAAGAGGCAGAGGCAACAATTGCCTGACATCTTGCAGGTCGTGCTCTGAATCTCTGTATAGAGTGTCCATATTCAAGCTTATCATTCATTTTCTGAAGTTTCTTCAGCAAAGATCCTCATGTCTTTGCCTCTGACAACAATTAAAGGCCACCCTAATCAACAGAAAAGTAAAGAGTGAGCTTTATGAAGGGTAAGGCTAAGGCAAATGATTATATGGTACCTCAATAGGAGGACTAAGATGACAGAAAGATAGACCTTTGCATTAATTAAGCATCCAGTGTCTTCACTACACAAAATAACTACTGTAGCAGAATATGTCAGCAAATGGCCTTAATCCCAATACTCAAATGGAAAAGCAGGAGGATTGAAGATTTGAGGTAAGTTTTGGGATAAGTAGCATGAGCTAGTCTTGAAATAAATAATAAATGAACAAGCAAACAAATAAATCAAATTTCTATTTAAAACAATGGAAGAAAGTCAATGTTATCGTCCTTGACTGTGACGCTCTTAAAAGTAGAGACCAATCTACTTCTATGTCTCCTCAGCATAACCCAACACCATGCCTGGAGCTGTAGTTTAACAATTACTTAAAGTAAATCTGAATTAGCATGAGTGTAATGGTTTTTGCCTTACATCTGTTTTCACCTGCTTTAATAACAGTAATTCTGACTAGGTGTTCCAATGGAAAACATAAGAAAGAGACCAAATTTCTCCTGAGAGAGCCAAGCTTCCTTTCCCTGAGAAAGCCTATGTGGTTAGATGTGAAATACAAACAGGGGGCAGGGCAGAAGATTTGCCATATATATCAGTTATGAATTTCTACCTCTTCATTTTTTTGTTGCTGATTTCGCTCCATTTTTCAGTCAGGTACAGGTAGATTCTAAAACCAAATCAGACCTATATTTTACCAAGTAATCATCTTTCTACAATCTATAGCATCTACCTGTGCTATATGTATCATCTATCCACTTTCTATCCTCTATTTATCCCATCTTTTCTCATCTACAATCTATCTTCTATATGCCCTCGCTCAACTATCTACCATTTATCTTTCCATCATCTATTGTCTACCATTTATTTTTTACATATCATTATCTATCTTCTATTATCTATCAACCTATTATTTATCTTCTATCATGTACTGTATTTCTATCATATATCTCCTATCATCTACTTGCTATCAAATCTGTCTAAACTCTATCATCTGTCTATATATGTATATAAATCCACCATCTATTTTCTATGTATTTATCATATATGTACCTCTCATTTATCTATATGATACCTACCTTCTATATAGTATGTATTACTTATCTTCTATTGCCTGTATTTTATGTTATATATAACATCTGTTATGGATTTATACTTATCATCTGGCTATCTACCATATTTAAACCATCCTGTGTTTTCTCTTATTTTATGTCAGCAATCTATCCTCTTACTAACCTGTATCTATCTTCCAGCTATTATCCTCTATCTTTAATCTATCATCTACCTATCCTGTGCTTACATTCAATGTATCATTTATATTCTTGCTATCCAGTGTCTAATTTTCATCTATCATTGATGAACTACTTATATATACTATATCCCCCTCAGATCTATTATCATTCATCTATCATCAATCTTCTACCTATTCTTTGTTCCATCTATTATCTTCCATTTAAACTACTGTCTATTATCTAGCTATCCTATATCTATCATCCATCTATCATCTGTCATCTAGCTACCCTGTGTCTATCTCCCAAATTTCTACAATCTATCATACAAACATACATCCTGTGTCTATATTCCATCTATCTCTATTCTGTAGTTCTTCTATATCTACCTATATACCCTCTAACTATCCTGTGTCTATCTTTTCATCTATCCCGTAGTTATCCTGTGTCTATCTTCCATTGATGGTACACCTGTAGTTATCCTGTCTATCTTCCATATATGGATTATCTGTCCTCTAGCTATTCTGTCTAACATCAATCATGTATCCTCTACCTACCATACATCTTCCTTCCATGCATTTTCATCTATCTTTTAGCTGTTATTTGTGTATTTTCCATTTATCATTTTCCATCTATGATCATCTATCCCCCAGCTATCCTGTGTCTGTCTTCCATCTATCTAGCCTCTAGCTTTCCCTTGTCTTTCTTTCATCTATCAATCATTCATCCTCAAGATATCCTGTGCCAATCTTCCTTTATCAACCTCTCCTGTATCTATTTTCCACCTGTAATTAATCCTCTAGCATATCTATGCCCATCTTCCATCTACTTTTTTTTACATCTATATATTATATATCCTCTAGCTATCCTCTGTCTGTTTTCCATGTTGTCACCTTTACTCTAGCTATCCTGTAACTATCATTCATCATGTCTTCTAGCTATACTATTTCTATCTTTCATCTGGTATTTATCCTCTAACTATCCTGTGTTTATCTTCCATCTATCTATCATCTATCCCTTATCTATCTTCTATCATATATCTAACCAACTTTCATCTTCTTTCTTCTATATCCCCACTCTTCAATTTATCATCTATTCTTTATCTTACTTCTTCATCTTCTATTATTTATACTTTATCATCTATTGTCTATAATCTACCATCATTTTTGTATCAATGACCAATAATTTATCACCTATCAATCATTCACCATCCTTTAAGTGTTTTTGTACCATATAACCCTCTTGATAAAAATTTGTCAGTATTTAAAAATACAGCCAGTCTGGTCTTATTTGCTAATGTATGTCATAAGGGTATCAGAGATAGTAAACTGTGCTATAAGTAGAATTACTTGAGAAAATGCGAGGCATTCATCAAGAGCAAGTAAGACAACTAAGCTTAAAGAGCACAGATAGGTATATACTTGACTATATAACTTCAGACTAAACTAAAAACTGATATAACTGAAACATGAAATTATCAAATCCACAGTTTACACTTGGTGAGTTCACCATCCCTGTCTCAATGATTGGTACAAGGTTCCCTGTTTTGATGATAGGTACAAGATTAAACATAAAATAACTCAAAATTTTTCCCTTACAGCACAGCACCAATTGACTTAACCTTACCTCACCACTCACTTGAAGTCAAGCGCTTTTATGTTTACTGTATCCAGGCAACCACCAAATACACACTACCTATGAGATTGGTTGAAAACCTAAGACCCATTGATTGTGAATGGTCCAAGGCTGTGATTAGACAAAACACAAGTTAAAATGACTCTGGTTTTTATTAACAAGACTGTGATTGGTCTAAGAATACAAACTTTAATGACTATGATTGGTCCTAAGTGTCTCATTGTGATTTGTTCAAAACATAATCTTTGATAAATGATTGGTGGTAAGTGGCAAGGTTGTGATTGGTCTAAAATATAAGGCTCAATGCTTGTGACTGGTTCTACAAGGCAAAGCAGTTGGGCTTAACAAATAATTAAGGAGACATTCACAAGATACTGCCTTTCCTGGTTTGTAACACCAGGCCAAATAAAAGATATCTCTT